CAAAATGTTGCATTAGACAACCCTAATTTAAATAATGATCCTAACAATCCTTGGAATCTTGTTAATAAGTATTATACATATTTTGCAAGCAACAGTTCATGTAATCAAGATTCATTCCTTGTGCAACAACCTAATGAAAATACAAATATGTTTGCACATTTTCCTTCTTCAACTCTGGCAATGTATAATTTTCTTACAGGTATTAATTATATATATTTCATTAAAAATAATAATCAAGTTAAATAATTTAATTAATTGATTTTTTATTAGGAGATAATGGTGCATTTGGAGCTTGGGAGTTGCAGAATAATTCATATCTTACAGTATTAGTGGTTGCATTCTCATTCATTGTTGTGGTATACCTAATGAATTTATTCATTGGTTTGCTTAGCAATGAAATTCAACATTATAATACAAAAGAAGCATTTTTGGCTCAAAAAGCAAAAATTATCACAGAGATTGAATTATTTTATTTATTTCCTAATCAATGTCGTTGGAGAAACTGGTTTCCAGATATATTGTAAATATAATAATAATTTATTAATTAAATCATTTTGATAAATTTCTTTTAATAATTGCTAAAAAAATTTTTTGTTAGATATTATAATGCACCAATTGATGATATTTCATAAAAAAATTAAAGAAGTAGATGATAGCAATGAGGGTGAAGAATATCTCCCATATATTTCTGATAGACTTAGGGAACTTGCTGGAATGTCTAAAAAAACAGAAAATGATTTTGATTCAAGATTTCAACAAATTGAAGCCAAACTTGCTGAGATGTCTAATAAAATGGAAAATGATCTGAGGTTTCAGCAAATTGAAAATATCCTTGAAAATAATACAAGAGAAATAGAAAAAAAAATGGAAAATAAATTAAATCATAGTAATGATCAATTGTTGACTCAAATGCAAATTTTGTTGAATGAAATTAGGAATTCAAAAAAATAATTATTAGATTTATTATTTTATTACTATTTATTTATATAAATTTATATTTAGTTATAATTACTTTTCACAAGATAACTAATAATCATTATGGTTTTTGGAAAAACCATTGTATTTGTTAAAAAATTAACATTTTCTATTAACAAGTGATAATGCGTCTACTTTAATTTTTATTGGAAAATTTGTCAAGTAGTTATTTTGTGAAAAGATTAATAATAAAAGTAATCACAGTCATAAATATAATCAATAGATCAATTTTGGATTTCTCATATCAAATTAAAAATATGCCTTGTATATGAAAAAAAGGGCTTTTTGCATAAAGAAGTAATAAGATGAGAAATTAGATATAGATAGATGGTTTAGATATGTTAACGCGAATACCTTGGTAAATAACCTTATTTTAATAAATCATATATGTTAAGATGTGCCATTCATAGTAACCGTGATTTTTTTTCGCGCATAGTACGTACGGTGCGCATGGTAGCATAGTGCGCATATAATAATAAGAAAGTAAATGGCATATTTAATTTTTTTTTAGAAATGTTTATTAATAAGTAAATGTCTATAAAAAATATATCTAAAACCTTATGC